CAACAACAAAAAGACAAACAGCCCAATTAAAAAATGAACAAAGGATTTAAATATACATTTCTTCAAAGAAAACATACAAGTGGCCAACCAGCACAAAAAAAAGATGCTCAACATCACTGGTTATCAGGGAAATGTAAATCAAAACTCATAGTGAGATAATACTTTATATCCACTAGAATGGCTGCAATAAAAAAAATGAAAAATAGCAAGTGTCAATGAGGGTGTGGAGAAACTGGGATCCTTATACACAACTGGTGGGAATATAAAATGGTACAACCACTGTGGAAGACAGTTTGGTTCCTCAATAAGGTAAATACAGAATTACCCTACCCTATGATCTGGCAATTCCGCTCGTAGGTATACACCCCAAAGAATTGAAAACAGATGTTCAAACAGAAACTTGTACATAAATGTTCATAGCAGCACTATTCACAATAACTAAAGGTGGAAACAACCCAAATGTCCATCAGTTGATGAATGGATAAACAAAATGTGGTATATCCATACAATGGAATGCTATTTGCCCATAAAAAGCAATGAAGTACTGATACATGCTACAACATGGATGAACCTTGAAAACATTATGCTAAGTGAACAAAACCAGTCATGAAATACCACGTATTGTGTGATTTCATTTATATGACATACCCAAACTAGAAGAGTCTGTAAAAACAGAAAGTTACTAGGGGAGAAGGGGGAATGGGGAGTGACTGCTTAATCAGCAATTTCTTTTTGGGGTGATGAAAAGTTCTGGAATTAGTAATAATGGTTGAAGAACATTGTGAATGTACTTAATGCCACAAAATTATACACTTAAAAATGATACATTTTTGTGTATTTTATCATAAAAAAATCAAAAAGTTAAATAAGATAGTGAGAAATCTCCCACCCCATATACCCCAGTTTCCACACCTACCCTAAATAAATATCGTTTATCTTTTTTCTCATAATCTTTCTACAGATTGTTTTATGCATATACAGATTAATATGAATATACTTTTCAAATGGTAGAATTCTACCAATGCTAGAATATACACAATTTTACAGTTTTATTTTATTTATTTTTTATTTATTTATTTTGAACTCTTGACCTCAAGCGATCCTCCCACCTCAGCCTCCCAGACTGTTAGGATTACAGGCGTGAGCCACTGCACCCTACTTTTTTTTTGTTTTAACTACTTTTCTTAGAGATCTTTCTACCTTAGAAAACTAAGAAGTTCCTTGTTCATTTTTATAGCCATAAAGACTTCCATTGCATCATATCATGGTTAATCAGTCCCCGCCAGGCACGGGTGGCTGACACCTGTAATCCTAGCACTTTCGGAGGCCGAGGCTGGAAGATTGCTTGAGATCAGGAGTTTGAGAACAGCCTCAGGAAGAGCGAGACCCTGTCTCTACTGAGGCAGGAGGATCGCTTGAGCCCAAGAATTTGAGGTTGCAGTGAGCTATGATGACGCCACTGTACTCTACCCAAGGTGACACAGTGAGACCCTGTCTCGAAAAAATTAATCAATTAAATAAATAAATAAAAAATAAAAAGACATAACCAGTCCCTAATGATAGGCATTTAAATTATTTCTAATTATTCACTACAACAAATAATGCTACAATGAAATGTCATGCATTTATCATTCTACATGTGTGCAAATGAATCCATAGGATAAATCTCTGGAGGAGGACGTGCAGGATCAATAGATCGGTGTTATTTGTAATATTGGAAGGTATTGCCAACATAAGTTCCTTAGGGACTGTGCCGGTTCACATTCCGTTCAGCAGTATATGAGAAAGGCCAGCTCACTCCTTGTCATGAAGTATCTGCATCCTCCTCAGCCTGGACACAGGCTCAGGTCCAGATGCTCTCCACGGAGTGTGGGGAAGGGGTGGGGAGCAAAGTCGTTGACTGCCTCCATCATGCTGCCCACCACCTGTGACCTCAGGAGCGGTATATAAGGGAGGAGCCTCCAGACCCCGACACACACACCCAGAGGCCACCCCAGGGCTGAGCCTCCCTGCAACCTCAGCCCTGCTTGCTCTGCGTGCCTGTGGTCAGGGAAGCTGGAGATGCTGCAGTACAAAGCACAGTTCTGACTCATCTCTCACAGGTGGGGCCCCTGCTGCCACACAGGGTTCCAGAATAGGACAAACAGAGACCTCAAGCCCATTCATCTCCCCTTAAAGGGGACCCTGGGACTCTCTGGACAGCCTTCCCCTCCCCTTCTTCCTAATTCTTCCCTCTTCTCCCCTTCTTGGGGACATATGCCCTGCCACCTGCTTATCTATCTCTTTCTCTCTCTCCCCCTCTCCCTCTGGCTCCTTCCTATTCAAAACTTCGATTACATCTCTCTGCTGCTTTTCTCTTCTCCATTTCTGCACAGTTCTTTATTTTACTTCCTTTTCCCTCTGTTCCTAACCAGAGAGTGGCCCAAGGTCACCCAGGGCACTAGAGGCAGAGCAGGGACTGAGACAGATCAGGCCTCTTGGCCTGTTTGCCGCTTGCCTCCCTTCCAACCCAGGCGCCATCACCATCAAAAGTGGTGTCTTCTCCCCACTAACCCCGATAGGCTCTGCCTAATCCAATTTCTCTTTCCTTGGGGGTCTTCTTCAGTCTTCCCTTCTTTCTCTGGACCAAATGGTTGTCCCATTTTTCTGGACTCCATTCTGACTCCAGTACACACCTTGTTGTCCCCCTCCACAGCTGAGAAACAGCCTTTCCCCAACCCATTCATCTCCCAAGTCAAGCAAAACCCTCTGCTGCCCACTCAGAGTTGTAAAGAGGGAACAGAACCGAGCTGCTGGGCTGCAGTCTCCCAGGGGTGTGCAGTCTGTGGCCAAGGTAGCAAGCAACTGGGAAGAAGTCTGAGCTAAGGGCAAAGCATCAGGCAGCAGACAAGGCAGCGGGAATAATGTTGGGAGAACCCTACCTTGACACCAGGCAGGCACTCAAATGACAGCACTCACATATCCCCACCTCTTTTCCCTCCCTCCAGCCCTACTCCAGGGAGATGTTGGAAGGGGTTGTGAAACTGGAGGAGGGAACGGGGACAGGGGATCTTAAAAATGTAGAAAGGAGTCAAGCCTTTCTCGAGTCCAGAGAGACCCTGGGTGTCCAGGTCAGAACCTTCTTCCCAGGAGGTTGGGACCAGGTGGGCCTAGGCTTGCAAGGAGAGGTGGTAGGAGAGCTGGTACCCTGGTACTCACAGGTGCGTGCAAAGCATGCAGAGCGGCCCTTCCTCTGGAGGCAGTTGCAGCCTTTGTGTACTGATCTGGGAGGCTGCAGAGGAGGAAGTGACACACCCAGGGGTGGGGGAGACTTGGGGGTGACTGATCTAGGAGAAGGTGGAGCAGATAGGCAAAGGAAGTAGATGATGCAGAGATTTGAAAGATTTTATTTAGTGAGCCCCTGTCACTTGCTGGACATTTCACATCACAATTAATCCTCACTACCAACCTCCTAAGAGGGGTGTGAGTCCCCATCCCCCAATTTTGCAGATGTAGAGAGTGAAGCTTTGAGGCAGCAAGTAAAGAACTTTGCCTGAGATCCACCACTGGTGAGTGCCTGGTCTGGGATTTAAATCCAGGTCTGCCTGCCGACCTCTGCACCTCCTCACACAGGAAGGAACATGATAAGAGGAATAAGGCGGCAGTAAGTATTAGAGAGAGGAGGAATTTAGAGACTCTTGTTCATTTTGAAAACCCAGTGCCCATCATAGTGTGCTTAACTACATGGGCCATGGAGCCAAACTGCCAGACAGAGTTCAAGTCCTGGCCCCCCCATTTACTAGGAGTAGGGACTTAACCCTTCCTGTGGCTGTTTTCTCATCTGTCAAGTGGGACTCATAGGGTTGTTGTAAGAATTAGATGTGCCAACTCATATCAATTGTTTATAAGAGTACCTGGCACACGCTAATGGCTTGACAAGAGAATCGGTAGGCATGAGGAGTAATGGGGGTGAGAAGTGGAGAGGCTTTGAGAAACTCAAGGTTCAGGCAGCTGGAAACTTGGCAAGAGAGGCACAGGGCCAGGCTCAGAGTGTGAGAGGTGCCAGGCAGGGGCCACGAGTGGTGGAGGCTAGGCAAGGATGAAGCCTGTGGGGAGAACAGGTTGTGACAAGTGGCAGTGGGATATGCCCCTGGCCGGCACTTGCCCACTGGGAGCTTTGAGAGGGAGTGGGACAAGAGATGTGTTTTCACAGGTCTATCTCCCCTACCAAGAGCTCTCCTTGATGGAAGGGCTGGGCTCTACCAGGCTGCCTGCTGTAGCCACAGCCCCTAGCAGAGCGCCCAGCTCCCAGTGGAAGGTCAGCTGGATTTCAGAAGTACAGCTGCTGAGAGGAAGCAATCGGGAGGAGGGGTTCCTCCTCCGGGTGGGCTTTGGGGGCCCCAGGCTGTGGGCTAGACAGAATCCACAACCTTCCCCCACAGCCAGCGGTTACCATGGCAGGGACCCCTCCTTCCCCTCAGGCCCTGTGGTTTCCTCTAGAGCTTCTTTCTTTCACTTTCTTCTTCTGCTTTACCCCCCAACTCTTTGCTTCTCCCCTACTCCCACATCTTCAACCTCTTTCCAGACGCACAGGTCACCAGCGAAGACAGCCAGCTGCAAGGTAGGCAAGGCACTGTCCCAGGGAAGAAGGTGGGCCATGGCGGGGTGAAAGCTGGGGAGATGTTGAGGGAGAGTCACGGAGGGCAGAGGGAAGACAGAGTTCAGGGGTGCATAGCAGAGGCCAGAGGCATTGCAAACGCACTTTGCAGAGGGAAGGCCTGTGAGGGCAAGAAAGATACTGGGAGAAGGTAACAGTGGGGTTTGGGGGGAGTGGAGGTCAGGGGGTGAACACAGGTCACAGAGGGCAGAACAGCTCACTGGGTGAGGGGCTGCTATAAAACGGCAACACTGTAGCTTGTCTTCTGGGCCCAGAAACCCTCATGACAACAAAGAAACGTCAACAGACCCCCTCCCCAGAGAAGGGCAGATATGCACATGTACATGATTGGACTGGGGATGGGCTTAGAGGCTGCTGACAACCATTCGCGCCTTCCCAGGGGCCCTCAGCACCCAACGTAGAACCCATCTGGAGGCTGTGGGAGGCCTGACCACTCAGGGTACCCTGCGGGCTCCCCCGCAACCCCCCATCCAGGCACATTTCATCCTGTTTTCTTTGTTCCCTTAAGAAAGCTGCAAGGCCCACAGAGGAGGAGCTGGCCCTCCTCACTCAGTGTCCCCTCCAGGACAGCCGGTTATTCAGCCTACCACCTCCTAGAGGGAGCCACATCCCACGAGTTTTCATCACTTTATTTTGCAAAAATAGAAAACTCAGCAATATGCAATACAGCGGGGTGGAGGGGAGATGTAAACAGAGGGGAGGGGACAGCACCCTGACCCCCCAGAGAAAAAGGAGAGCCAGTGGGAATCTTATTTGGCAGCTAAATACAAACTGGGGATTGGAGGAAAGGAGGGGTCACAGGGGCCCTGGGCTCCCCCACCCAAGACCCCTGGAGGAAGGGGTCAATTCCAGGGTGTAAACAAAAGCTAATAAATAAATAGAGGCTTCCTCTGGGTCAGGGTGGGATCAGCTAAGCAGCATCCCCCCTCCCTGGGCCAAGCTGCTCTTGGGGGTCAAGGGTGGAAGGCACTAGGGAGAGAGGGATCCCCTGGCCCCTCTGTAGTGTAGGAGCCTCCCTGCCCTATGGCTGAGATGGGGGCAGGAGGAGCCCAAGGCATGTGACAGGGCTGGAGGAGGGACTCATATGGAGGGCACAGGGTAAACCCCACCCCCAAGCAAAGAGGTGCAGAATGGGCCTGCATCTGTCCCTTTCACCCCAGAAATGCAGGGCCCAGCCTGCCCCTCCCCCACCTGGCAGGAGGATGAGGCATAGAGGGCAGCATGCACCCAGCAGGTGCATCACACAGCATTAGGCACCAAGAGTAGGCGCAAGAGGGTGGGCTCAGCCCTCCCCCTTTGCCCCTCTTTTGGTCTCTAGTGTTCCTGTTTGCTCCCAGAGGCCCAAGCACCTGGCAGAGGAAAGGACTGTGGAATGGCAGGGTCTTCCTCCTGCCCTGGGGAGTCTAGGACCCTGGCATCTGACGGGCAGTGCTGAGACTTTAGAGTCCAAACCCAGGCTCACCCCTCTGCCCTGTCTCTTGGTGGGAGCAGGGCAGGCCCCCGGGACTGGTGAGGGAGCCAGTTAGAGCAGGAAAGGGATGAACACAGAGGCACCCCTGGAAACTTTGGCAAAAACAAGGAGCTCATTGGAAGGGGTGGGGAGAGGGCAGAGCAGGTCCTCCCCCAGTCACCAGTAGTGTCTGGGAGATGGTCAGTCTGCTGCCTGGAACCCCAACCCCCACGGTGGGGGAGGTCAGGGGCCCTGGTCAGGCTGGGGACTTTGGCCCCCTTTGTCCTGGCCCCGGGGAACCTCATCTTCACTAGAGGCCTTGGGGTGGGGACCAGGCTGTGAAGAGTCATCCTCAAACATTTCGGGGTTCTCCAGCATCTCTCGGATCAGGGGAGGCATCGGGCCTGGAATCTCCATCTTCAGCGTAATGGCCCTTTCTGCTCCTGCAATGGAGAGGCAAAGAGGCTCATGAGGACAGAGGCACATGGCCCTTGAGGCCACCTCCCTAATCTTTCTCAGCTGCCCTCTGATTATGGGGACTCACAGTACAGGCCTGTCACCTCTCTGCCCCAGCTCACCCTCTCCACACTAGGGTTTCTAGGTGCTGTTCCTCTGCCGGGAAGTTCTACCTGGTCTAGTCTGCCAAGCCTGCCGCCCACTCGTCCCATTCTTTCAGGCTATCTAGTCAAAGATTGCTCTGCGCATAACTTCCAGCCCCGCTCCCCAGCCACCTCGCCTCTAATGTCCAGAGCTTGCCAGTTTTCCTAGGCCTGTCTTTTTTTTTTTTTTAGGGAAAGTCTCACCAAGCTAGAGTGCAGTGGCATCATCATAGCTCACCAGAACCTCAAACTTCTGGGCTCAAGCGATCCTCCCACCTCAGCCTGCCAGAGTGCTAGGATTACAGGCATGAGCCACCGCACCTGACCATCCTAGGCCTGTTCTTAATACATTTGTAACAACAGCTAAAATTTACCAAACACTATGTTCCAGGCATCCTTCTAAACCGCACCATCCAGTAGAACTTTCTGCAGTGTTGGAAATATCTGCTCTATCCAATACAGTAGTCATTAGCCGCCTGCAGCTCTTGAGCAGTTGAAATGTTACTACTGCAACTGCAGAACTGAATTTTAATTCAGCACAGTTCCAAGTACATTGTGTGTATCTGTGTGTGGTTTTTTTTTTTTAAGCGATGGGGTCTTGCTGTGCTGCCCAGGTTGGAGTGCAGTGGATATTCACAGGTGCGATCATAATGCCTTAAGCCTGGAACTATTGGGCTGAAGTGATCCTCCCAGCTCAGCCTCCCAAGCAGCTAGGCCTACAGGTGCTCACCTCTGTGCCTGGCTTTACATTGTATATAAACTCATTTAGTCCTCACAATAACCTTATGAGGTAGGTGTAAGTACAGCCCAGTTTACAAACAGGAAAACAAGGTACAAAAAACAAAGGAATTTGTCCAACATCCCCCATTACTAGTATGAGGCAGAGCCGGGATTCTGATGGAGGTCGCCTGGCTCTTGATCATTCTGTTCTTGTCTCTGGGGGCCGCCGGTGTGACCTGGGAGACTAGCAGCTCTGAGAAGACACAGAGGGGACGTTCGCTCATGACTAACCCTTGGTGCTGATGCCCCGGAGGTCGGTGATTTTCATGAGCATCCTCGGGAACATGTAGGGCTGGCTGGGCCGCCGGCGCCGGGCGTACAGCCTCAGGGCTTCCAGCAGTGGCTCCTGCAGCTTGTCCACTTTTTCCGGCTCCTCCAGGTCCATGCGGTCTATGGGCACAAGCACAGCGGGGTGAGAGGGGAACGAAGAGATGCGGAGGACACAGTGACAGGTAGCTGGTTCCCAACTGGCCCTGACCTGTGGGCATCCAGGTCCCAAATTTTGTCCCACCAGCCACTTCCCTGTTGTTCCTGAGCCCCGCCCAGGCTATCTCCCCTGCGCTAAGCCCTGCACCTTCTCCCCTCAGCAAGGGGCTTTCTCTGGTAAATCATTCCTGCCAGATTCCTATCTCAGCACCAGTATCCAGGGTCTCCTCAGCTCCCCCAGCTCTGCCTCTTTTTTGTCCTATTTTCTAGGCTGCTGGGAAGCCTGTACAGGATCTGAGAAGTCTGTGGATAGTGCCAGGTGCAAAAATCCCAAGGGAAGAAGAGACCACCAGGTTTCCTGCGGAGTCAGAGATCAGGTGTGGAGTGTTGTGGGAAAGGAGAGCAAGCAGACGCCAGGGGGCACCCCCGCACCTCCACAGATGAGGCAGATGGCGCTGAGCAGCCCTGTCTCTGTGTCATCCATCTCCAGAGGCAGGAGCTGCCCGGCAAAGGCAAAGACCAGGTCTGTGAGGGGCCCAAAGCCGGCATTGTGCATCTGGGTCCGGTTCAGGGTCAGCCCGTCGGAGAAGGTCATGGTGTCCTGTTCTGGGGTGTACCTTGTGCAGATCCGCAGCATCTGGAGGTGGGGGTGGGGGAGGGGTTGGGGAAAAGAGGGAATGAGTGGAAAGCAAGGAGAAGGTCAGGTCCCCAGTGAGTGCAGCCTGAAGCAGGCATGGGGAGGAAGGCAGAGGTGGAGGATCTGAGGAGGAGAGGTCCTGAGAAGTCAGGAGGCAGGGCATTCAGGGCCTATGATCAGGTCACAGGGGCAAGGGCTAAGACAAGAAGAGTTTAGGTAGAGGAGATCTGAGGAGTCCCAGATGGCTGGGGCAGGGTGGGATAAGGAAATCTTTGTATGGACCAAGGAACTGTTGAGGGTCTCATATGAGGGTCAGGCTGTAGCACCACCCACAGGGCCTAACTTACCAGGATGTCCAGGCAGGCAGCCTTGAGCAGAGTGATCTGGTCAGCAATGCTGAGCCCTGTAAAGCCAGGCAACCGCTTGGCAAACTCCACGATCTTGATGATGCACTTGGTGGCCAACTCACTGAACTTGTCCCACAGCCCCAGATCCAGCTGCACCCGGTGGTCTGCACTGGAGTTCTGCAGGAGGAGGAGTGGAAGGTTAGAGTGTAAGCTGCGGCCCACCTCTGGGGGCTGTCTTCTCTCAGCCAATACCCCAAGCTCTCCCCTCCGCATTCTGGTGCCCTCCTTGTCCTCATCACCAGACCACAGCCTTCAACACAACCCACACCCATTCCCCCGACAACGTGAAGAGTGCCCTACCCTCTCTGGGGCTCTGCCCATTCCTCACCGTGGTGTATTTGCCCAGCTGGCAGAGCGAGGGGAAGGTCTCCTGATGGGCTTTGCTGACCTTGGTGATGAGCTCTTCTAACTGGGGGCTCAGCTCATAGCTGTCAGGTGACCCTTCTTCCTTCACCTCTTTCTTCTTCTTGTTCCGGTCGTTCCGCACAGCTTGGGGGTGGAGGCGCAAGGAGAGGGTCAGGACCCTCGGAGCCTCATTTTGGACATCCTCTCTTACCCTAATTTAATGTGCTCAGTCCTTATGAATATCTATTCCCTAGTACTCTAATTAATGCCTCAGTTTCCCTATCTCCTACATTAGCTCCTAGTTCTAGGCTGGCTCTCCCTAGCCCCACCCAGGGCC